TTAATAAATTATAATATACTTTATTTAAATAATGTATTCAATTTTTTTAGGTTATTTTTCCTTTTTGTTGTTTTTTGTTTTGTTTTTCAAGGCAGGGCCTCTCAGTGTAGCCTTGGTTGTCCTAGAACTAACTCACTCTGTAGACCAGGCTGACCTTGAACTCAGAGATCTGGCTGCCTGTGCCTCCTGAGTACTGGGATTAAAGGCATGGGCCACCACTGACCAGCTTCTTGCTTATTATTTATGATTTAATGGATACTAAACAACAAAGTTACAGATTACTATTTAATATTTCTTTTTGTTTATCTGTAAGTATGCATATGTGTGTCTGTGTGTTTGTGCTACATGTGTGTAGTTGCTAACGGAGGCCAAGGAGAGTAACAGAGCCCATGGAGCCAGAGTTACAGGAAGTTGTGAGCCACCCAGCGTTGGTGTTGAAAACTAAACTGGGGTCCTCTGCAAGAGCAGTATGTGCTCGTAGCCACTGAACCGTCTCCAGTCCCAGACTTCCTTTTCAGCACCTTAAAAACGTCATTTCATTGTCTTCTGGCATCATGGCTTCCAAGGAGAAATAGACTCAGTTCTGTATGCAATCTATACTATTTTTCCCTCTGGGTACTTGTTAACTTGTTAGGGTTTTTTTTTCCTATTCATCTGTGTTAAGTTAGCAGCTATGAAATGTTTCAGTCTATATTCCATTTAAAAGCTGACCAGCTAACCTGTCACAATTTCATAGAAGATCATTCATTACAGCTACAGCAACAGCAGAGCAATATTGCTGAATAGGCTCCCTGAGCCCCAGTGTCTACAGCAATGTATGCTCTTCCTTAGTTAGATCTTAAACGTCACTAAAGACACATATGCCCCAGGCTTGGTGCCAGCCTTTAGTGCCACTCAGAAGAGATGACCCCTTTAGGAAGTAGAACAATAGGAAGAAGGAAGTTAGGTCACTAGGGGTATGCCCTTGTGGAAGATTTTTATCCCTTCCTGTGTCTCTTGCATTTCCTGACCACCATGATGTGAACAGCTTCCTCTACCAGCCATTTTTCATCATGATGTCCTTTCTTGTCACAGGACCAAACATATCAGGTCCAAGTGACCATGAGCCTTAACAACCATGACTCAAAAAATTTTTTTTGATTTTTCCTTATAAGTGATCTGTCTCAGGAATCCTGCTGCAGCATGAAAGATGACTGATTCAGAGTGTGTGCTGGGAATCATGCGTTACTAGAACACAGTGAATGTGTTGTAGGAGAGAAACCCCAGTGCTAGGAGGTCTTCATCTCAGAGCTATTGGAAGCCTGTGCAACCCTCCCTCTGGGTGACAATGACCGGATTAGGGATCATCATCATGGAAGCACATTAAGGTATATTTCATGCAGTACTTTGTTTTACTGGGATTCCTTATCCCTTTACCCATCACACCCATCCTTCCCCCTGAAGGTTCTATATGATGACAATCATAGTTTTGATTTTTACTTCCTTAATCCTTAAGTCCAACAGCTTGTTATCTGTGGTTTTGCTTCAGCTGACTATTGGCGGCGATGCCAAGAGTCTCTCGAAGCCACTGCTTGACAAAGCTCCAGTGCTTGGATGACCCTAACAGACCCTTCCCTGCCCTTGGTGGAATTTGCTGCACAACTCTTGCCTGTGTCTTTGTCGTGCTTAATTCCTTGCTGTTAAGGGCTCCTCACGGAAGCTGGGATAACATAACAATTCTTACAGAAGTCGATCTCAGGAAGAATACAATGTATAGTGATTCCCTGGAAGAATCAGCTATGCAAGAAGTTGAGTCTTCTGTAGAACCCATTGCTTAAGTGGTGTTAGTAAGCCTGAGACACAGGATCTGGAACAAATCCTTAAAGAAGAAAAACTTAGGGAAATTTCAGAAGCCGACAAACTGTAACTGAATTATTAGGCTTTCATGTTTTGCCTCAGAAACATGGAACTAGCATGGACAGAAAGAGATTTTGATTATAAAATTGACGACAGGGCTTGGTACCCCACTGAAGGCAAAGTAAGCAGTTTTCAGAATCTTGATGTTCTTTCACTCTTTGTAGGATTGCAATAAAGATAGAGACCACATTGAAACAAGAGTCTATGACGGAGACACAAAGGAGAAACATCTTGGCTCAGTGAACTTCCTGGCTTCCTGGGCAGATTGTCAGATCTGGGCTTCTCTGATCGTAGAAAGAGTAAAGAAAAGAACACGGTAATTCAGAAGTCAAGGAAAGGATGGTGGTTGTATTAGATATAAAAGAAAGAATTTAAGCTGGAGAGATGGCTCAGTGGTTAAAAGCACTGCCTGCTCTTCCAAAGGTAGGTCCTAAGTTCAATCCTAGCAACTACATGGTGGCTCACAATCATCTATAATGGGATCTGCTGTCCTCCTTTGGTATGCAGGCATACATGCAAACAGAACACTGCAGACATAAGAATACATAAATCTTAAAAAAATAAAGAATTTAAATGAGGAACTGAGGAGTCAAATTTTCACAGAAAGATGAGATATGCATTATAGTAGATTAATAAAGTAATATGGGAGAAGCTTGATATAACAGGGAGTAGAAAACAACTTTTGATTTATTAACTTAGTCAAACTTAGAGACATCTTGTCTAGTTTTTCTGTAATCATAAGGCTTTATGACACTGATTTTAAGGAAAAAGGTAATAAGTTAAAAGAATTAATTTTATCATAATGTTAGATTTTAGTTCTCATGAAATTTACTGTTTCCTCATATGACTTCTTTTACTTTGATATACTTATGTCATCAAGGAAGACTTTAGAAAAAGTATGTACCATGAAAAGACTTTGTAATCTGTCACGTCTGCTGCGCGGCCTGTGTCCGAGAACGTGCGGAGGGTGTCGGGGATTGACAACACAGAGACTCGTTCAACGATGTAAAGAAAACTTTAAACAGGCTCCAAAAAGGTTCAAGAAAACTTCCTAAGAAAGGCTCCCACCAGAGAAGCTTCTGCTCTCTCCTCTACCCTGGCTGGTTCTGCTCTGACCCCAGAGGTGGATGTGTGTGGGTTTTTGAAGGTGCGGTTAGTCTTTGGACAAGGTCGAGGTCAGGGCGGTTTCCGTGGGAAGGCCTTTTCCAGGAACTTATTGTATCATTTTTAGTAAACATGTTTTTACTAAACATTGTCTACAGCTGCCTACTCCCAGGCAGAAGGGGAAGTGGGTCTCTGCTCAAGGTCTGGTGTTCCCACAGTAATCAATGATTAAAGTCTATGAGGAAATGATTTCACATGTAAATAAAGCCTGTGAGAGATACAGGTTGTCAGGGCAGGACAAGGCATACCAAGATGTGCTTCCTCTCTGGCTCTCATAAAATGAAACTCAGAAGTGTCCTCCTGCCTGATTTCCCCATCACCACTCTTGCATCCGCCCACCTTCAGACCCCGCCCTCACTGGCTGTTTCTTCTTGACTACAATCCACATGCTTCTGTTTCTCTGTATGTTATGTGTGAAACACTGTGAATGACTTGTCTCTGCTATGAACAGTGCTGGGGAAATTACATTATTGGAAGCACGTCTTTGCGTTCTGTCCCTAAATCTAGGGTATATCCCTTACTCTTGAGTTGTGGTCTTTCCCTCTAGGTGTGATTATGCTGAAATTTCAGTGGGAAGCCTGAAATGGCTTTTGCCTATCTGACTGAACTGCCAGGACTTAAACTACATTCCAAGGTACAGGGTTGTTTTCTTTGGTATTTGCCTTCCAGCCCCATGTACATTCGCTCAGAAGTCTCAGGGATTTGAAAGGAGTTTGTGGGCCTATGCTGGGCCTCCCACTTACGTGGTTCCTTCCTTTGTTAGAATTTTCCATTCTCAGAGGAGTCATGTGCACAAATCCCCCCCACACACAAACTCACACACACTCTCTCTCTCTCTCTCTCTCTCTCACACACACACACACAAACACACACACACAGCGTGCCTATCAACCGGTGCATAGCTGCAGGTAGGCTGCTGCTTTTAATGTGCTTGGTTCCTCCCATCCCATGGTGCCCACCAAGTGTCTAGCATGCTCAGAGGAGATACACAAGACAGTCAGAATTTATAACAGCATCAGGCATGTCTCAAAAAAAAAAAGCAGCTGTCAGGAGCATGGCCTTTAGGTCCCGAGTGTCTCTCTCTCTCTCTCTCTCTCTCTCTCTCTCTCTCTCTCTCTCTCTCTCTCTCTCTCTCTCTCTCTCTCTCTCTCTCTCTCTCTCTCTCTCACTCTCTCTTTCTCTCTCAGTAGTATTATTTACCCGGCTTCCTATATTGAAAACTGTGAGCAATTTATGACCTGGAACCCAGTACTCCATGCATATCAGCTGTGAATCTTGCTTACAGTGCACTTTTGTCAGCTGTGTTTTAGGCAATTGGCTTTTCCGACTTCTACGTTTCTAGGGCAGCGAAAAATGTCACTGGACACACAGAAACCGTGGCATCACTTCATTCAAAATTCCACTCTGTGCTTTACATACTAACGGGAATACATGCTAGATGGTGCCAGAGAGAAGCATATTGAAAATACAGTTTCTTGCCAAGTGCCAGTCTATGTCTGAGGGTAAATTTGGGAAAATATCTTTGCCTCTCAAGTAGCGACTGTTTGCCAACATGCGACCAATCCAAACCAGTTAGTGAAAGTTCATAGTGGGTCAGACAGACGAAGTTCTGACCTCCAATAATGCATTCTTTGCCTGTGTCTACTAAATAAGTAAGAAATAATGGATTTGTGGGGATGTTCAGTTATTGTCCCGCTGCAGGCATGCAGGTTATGTGGGTCTGGCCAGTTTCCGGTTTATGTGCTTGACAAAATCAACCAGATGGGGCCGAGGAGCGCAGCTGCAGCTGTCTGAGCGTTGGTTGCACCCGGCCCAACCCCGCCGCCCAGCCCTGCACCGCGGTCAGACCAGTCGGACGGCTTCACTCCAGCCCGGCCCTCCGCGGCCCGGCCCGCCGATCGCCGCCCTTCCGGAAACCCGGTTCCACGCTGCCCGCCCCGCAGCCCTCGCGGCCCCGGCCGGCGCCTGGGCGCAGAGCCAAGGGGGCGCCGGGCTGCGGGAGCCGCAACAGGAGCCCGGCGGGACTTGGGTAAAGACACGTGCGAAGGGATCGGCTGCTGTGGCAAGAATTCAATCTGTCGCCCCTCCCCTTCCCCCCGACGGTGGCTTCCCTGACTCCAGTGTGTCTTTTCCGTGCACCGGTCAATACCAGCAGGTGAGCGCCTGAGGATCGCTGCTCTGGGGCCAGGACGTCAAGAACAAGGGTGTCTGAGCTGGAGAGAAGCTGCAGTTGACCCCGGGGCTAACAGGGACTCCAAGAATCGGGTCTAACTGAAGAGAGGGTTTGGCTGTACCCCACGGAGTATCAGTCCTAGTATGGGGTCCTTAGCTAAGGTGATGCATGGGTCTAGGCTCCAAGACCCTAGCATAGCAGGGATCAGGGCTTTGGTTCCAATCTCCCTAATGTGCCCTGGTGCCTGTGACATCCAGGGTGTTCCTCTCGGATGGTACGAGTTTGAAGTGAGCTTAAGGACTGCCCCCAGCAATACACTGGCGTATAGGTGTATAGGGCAGCTGTTTCCCACAGAGTTGGCACAGGCCCCTCTCCTGAGCTCTTCTTGGCGTCTTTCCAGAAAACAGCTGACATTCCTGGGAAGATAAACACCCATTCAGCTGATAAGTCCCCTTCCTCTGTGGTTCCTTTCTGGTCCTAGTATTCCGCCTCATTTGTCCATTTAGTCGGATGGTGATGGGGCCTGGGAAGTGTTTTTTCTAGGATACAGGATGGCTTTTGTTGCCCTGGTAAATGCATTCACCAGGCCCCTTTGTCCACGGCCTGTATGTCTAGGTCATGAGGCCAGCATCAAAGTCATGTGTGGGACATCTCCAGTCTCTTATGCCTGCAACCCTCATTAGCCCAGCCCCTTCCCAAAGCCCAGAGCTGATTGGATACAATTAGCATCTAATTGGATGTCTATGGTTCCTCTACATGAGAAACACCTCAAGGTCAAGTTTAGACAGCATGAAGTGCTGTGGTTGATTTTCTTCCCGACAGAGTGTCTTCTGTTTGTGGAGGGTAATGGGAAGAAGAGTCGTTCCTTCATTCATTTATTCAGCAGATACTTGCTGAGCAGCTACTGCTGCCAGGCACAGGGACTCCGTGAAGACATTGCTCTCCTTTAGATACAGTTGGCTGGAAAAAGGAAAGCAAACAGATGCATTATGTTATCTCAACGCGATGAGGGCTGTAAAACAAAAATAAACAAAACAGCGGGAGGAAAGGTGTGACAGGAAAATGAGAGAAGCCATCCCTTGGCTAGAAAAGACAGCCGCAGACATCCTGCGTGAGGTGGGAAAGTGGTACCATCTTCAAGGCCTACAAGTCTGCTGCACAGAACAGTGATGGGGAGTTACAAACTGCTTATAAGACCTCAGTGAGCAATGCATGGGGGGGGACCTCCCCTGAAGTCCCCAGAGCATTTCTTGTTGGCATGCTTAAATATAAGATAGAGCTACACCTTCCCAGGAGACACGTCCTGTTGTCTTATTTGTGCATTTATTTAACAAGTATTTGCCCAACAGTCTATATCTTCCAGGTTTAAAAACTCATTAATGACCATGATAGTTCTTTTCTTCATGGGTGTTGTTTTCTGGTAGAGAGGAATGGATAATAAACTATGTATTTACGAGAGTCTTGCTATCTGCCGTGTTCCACAGACTAACCTTGAACTCTTGGTCCTCCTGTGACTCCAAAGTTACAAGAGCTCCATGTTCAGCAGAGTAGTCGGTTCAGGCTGAGCAGAAAAGGTGCGACTTGGGCAGGGATTTGAGTGAAGATAAGACATAGCCATGTGACAGCCCAGGGGGAGAAGATTCCCAACCAGAGATAGGAACAAGGTGTGAGTCCATCGAACATGTGGGGAGAGTAAGAAGGAGGCCAGGGTAGCTCAGGCAGGTGAGCAGAGACAGCCAGGAGCCATTTAGAAAAGCAGGCAAACCCCCTGGCTGCCTCTAGGAAGGTTTACAAACTCTGGATATAACCCCAGGTCAGGCCTCTCAGTCCCCACCAAGCAGGGTGAGCGGTTGTACTTTTGTTCCCCTGTCTCCCGTCCCCCGTCCGGTCCCATCCCCCAACAACTGACAAAAACAAGGTAATGCTCAAAGTTTGAAGATGGTGGGAAAGCATGGATGGCTTAGGAGCTGGTAACATTGTGTCTGCAGTCAGGAAGTAGGGAGAGGGGAATACTAGCTGTGCGCTGAGAGTGGTGGGGTCTTTCTTCAGTTAAGCTTTTCTAGAATCACCCTCATACTCAGAAGTGTGTTTCATTGGCGGTTTTCAATCTAACGAAGCTGACAGAGAGTCAGTAGGAGCCAAGACCTATTCCCTCTGGCAAGAGAGGTATCTGTTCATACTCGGTACCCATTGCCAGCCCACACAAGGAGAATTAAAGTGGGAACCCTGGGATTTGAGGATGGCGGGAAAATCGTTGCCTTCTGGGAAAATTCTAACAATCTCTCTTTTTAACCTGAACTGAATTGGGTGATTCAATTAGCAGGATTTGACAAAAAAAAAAGAAAGAAAAGAAAAAAGGAAAAGAAAAACACAACAACAACAAAACTAGCTGGACAGCAGAGTAGTTGCATTACTGAGCATGTGCTCTATACCAGGCCGGTTAGCCTCACATTAGGACTTTGGAGTATATACTGTTGCTATCCCATGAGGAAGCTGGTGCTCCGAGACAGGAAGAAAGTTGCCCGAGTTTGCATGGCAAGCAAGTAAGGGGTCCGACTATGCCATCAGGGGGGTGGGGTTTTCAAGCCTCTGCTTTTACCTGTCATACAGTAAAATCGGATTCCCAGCCTCAGGCCCCCACTGCTCAGGTTCTGTCAACAAGTTCTGTGGCTCCAGCCTTTATACAAGTGTGGAGTTAGCACTTACAAAAGATTCCTCCGTAAAGTGGTGGCATCTGTGGCTCATTCCTACAAGCACTGGTCCCGGGCTGTGGAGCGATGGAGAGGACATGGGCACAGGGTCAGCTAGTCAGGTACTGTTCAGTCCTGCCCAGTGTGAGGCCCAGCCTCGAGACCGAAGTTCCATTTCCGTCTCCTTGGGGATGCTGGAGAACCCTCAGCTGACACTTTATCCCCATACGTCCTTTGGATGCCAGCCCTACTCCCAGGACTTCCTTTTCTCTAGTCTGAAACAAAAGAGCCTAGATTAGGTTATTTGTTTTTGGTTAAAGTCGATGTTTCATTTAGAACATGGTTCTGGAGCCTGAGAAATCCAAGGTTGTGTTGCCCGTGTCTAACAGGACCCTCTTATTGCATTCTAGCAGGAGGAGGGCATCGCAGAGCCAGACAGGGAAGCCAGTCAGAGTGGCCCTTATCACAGAGTTATGATGCTCATTAATTTATTCCTGAGAGCGAGAACCCTCGTCACACAATCACTACTGAAGGCTCCGCCTCTCAAATGTATGTATGACTGAGAATTAAGTTCTCAGCTCATGGGTAGAGAACACCTTCAGATCACAGTAACCGACGTGGCAATGGACTTCTTGGATTTTCACACAAAACAGTTGAGTGATAGGGAGCATAGGAAGGCGTGAGCCGCCTACGGCGCGGTAAGAAAGAGTCTCCTCAGAATACACTACACGAGGCAGCAATAAAAGCCATGAGGCAGGTCGGGGGAGATGGAGGCAACATGGCGATGTGTGCTTTATAATTATTTATTATTATTATTATTGTTATTATTGGAATACTCCCAGGAGGCAGAGGCAAGCCTGAGCTACCTGAGGAGACCCTGTCTCTAAAAGCTAAAAAAGAGAAGACATCAGGGCTGTGAGTACATTTGCCCACATTAAAAGCTTTTTTTTTCTTTTTTAAGTTGGGTCCCATGTAGCCTCAAACTGGCCTTGAACTCTTGATCCTCCTGCCTCCACTCTTTTTAAGTACTGAGATCACAAGCATGTGCCACCATGAGCTGTTTTACACAGCCCTGGGGCTCGGTAGGCAAGCACTCTACAACTGAGCTACATCCCTAGCCCTTAGCGGAGCCTCTATGCTTCTTTTATCTGTAGGAAGGAATGAATGAAGAAACCTGTGGCTGGTCACGCGTTGATCTGCATCAGTCTTAAAGGGAGGAGAAATGCAGGAAGTTCTGGGTGAGTCACTTTGTGCCCTGAGCTTAAATGATTAACAAGAGCTCCGTGCTCCTAAGACACAAACTCTTGCAGCAAAGGATAGAGATAGGGTTAAGTACAACATGGAGGTTGTGGGCTAAATTCTCTTTGAACCATAAGCACAGCTACTTTCTCAAAGGATATTTCTTCTTTTCTTTTTTTTTTTTTTCCTTTTTTTGAGACAGGGTTTCTCTGTGGTTTTGGAGGCTGTTCTGGAACTAGCTCTTGTAGGGCAGGCTGGTCTTGAACTCACAGAGATCTGCCTGCCTCTGCCTTCTGAGAGCTGGGATTAAAGGCGTGCACCACCACCGCCCAGCTCAAAGGATATTTCTTAAGGACTCATTCTGTTTGTAAACAAGCATATGTGCGCACACACACACACACAAACACACACATACACACATGAACACACATACACACATGCACACACACATGGACACACATATACACCTATACACATACATGCACACACACACACACATACACACACTCCTCCCCTTTCTTTTCTTGTTTTCCTTTTACAGATAATAAGAAATAATACTCAGGCTGGACCTTTTTGTAAAGTTGGCAGCCATTCTCAACAATTTGCCTTCAAGATGTATATATAAATGGACTTCACCATTTCTAAACAAATGTTGCAAGTCTTGTTGGATGGACATGCCATGTTTACCAAGCCAGTCCCATGGGTTACAGGTTATTGTCTCTTGTTTGCTAGACAATAATGACATAATGTGGTAGGCCTACTTGTACCTCATCTGTCTTTTAAGACCTGTGTCAGAAGTGGGGGGAACTCATAAAGGAAACTTAAAAGTTATGTGTACACTAGACTACCGGTGCTGCCAGGTCATTCTCTAGTGACACAGCATGACTTTTACTTAGGAAAGTGATGATTTCCCAACACTTTCACCAACCCAGGGTGGCTTCAACTTGTTGGTCTTGTTGGTTTCAAAATGTCACCACCTTGCAGTTTTAGTAGGTATTGCTTTCTGATGAGTCATTTTATCAGTTTTCCATGCTTTAAGCGTGTGCCTCGTATCCTCGGCGTGTTTGTTAGCTTCATATTTCTGTAACAAAATACCAGAGACCATCGGCTCGTCAAGGGGAAAGGTTTATTGGGGCACACAGGTTTTAGTCTATGGACTGTGGACCTGTGGTTCCGGACCTGTGATGAGACAGTGTATGGTCACACATGAAGCAGAGCGAAGCTGCTTGCCTCCTGCCTGAGGAGCAGGGGGAGAGAGAAGTACTGGGTCTATCCTGTCTGAAGTGCCAATGACCTAAAACCGCTCACTGCTTCCTACCTCTTAAAGATACCACTAACTAGCATTTTGTGTTGAGGACTGGGCCTTTCTTGCATGATACTCCCAGATAGAAACTGTAGGACTTGCCCTGGGCTTTACATTGGATATTGACCTTTTTGTTATTGAATTATAAGGAGTTATTTTTTTATTTTTTATTTTTTGCTCTTTGTGGATTTCACATAAGGCATCCTGATCCCGCTCATCTCTGCACCCTCCACATCTACCCTCCACCCCTGCAACCTCCCCGCGAAACAAAACAGAATTTAAAAGAAAACCAGAAACCAAAACAATAGCAAAAACGGAAAACAAACAAAAACCTCAGCATGGAAGCTGTAGTGTGGCCCCGTGAGTCACACGGTGAACTCTTTAGTCCATACATCTTTACTTGTAAGTAAGTGCTCGTTGCCGTGAGTCACTGGTCTGGTTCAAGGCCTCTGGCTTCTGCTGTACTATTGACAATGGGCACTCACTGGAACGCCTCTTGGTATCCTGTTGTCCAGTGTTGTGGAAATTCTGCAGTTCTGCATCTGCAGGTCTGGCCCCTTCACGGGCTCCAGTATTTCACAGACGAGGTGGATGTTGGGGGGTTCTGGGCTAGGCTGGCCAGCTCACGGCAGCCTTCCCTGACTGTCACCACCCAGGCGAGCCCTTCGACCCCGCCCCAGCTAGTTCACCCGGTGCAGCCTGGAACCAGTTCTCCTGCTCTCAGGTTGTCATCTCCAGGTCACCCACACTCTACCACCAGGGCCAGCTCTACTGCTTTGCCCAGGTGAGGTGCAGGGCCCACTCTCTCTATTGCCCTAAGGGGCACATGAGTGGGGATGGGGTCAGTCTCCTGCCCTCAAGGCCTGCTCACCAGCATCCCCACCAACATGGTCAGCTCTAGTGTGCTGCCCAGGGGATGTATAGGGCCTGTTCTCCCATGTGCCGCAGCCAGTGAGGGGCAGGGCTAGCTCTCCCATTCTTGTGACCCCAGGGTCAGCGCTCTTGCCTGAATTATAAGAAGTCTTATGTCTCATGTCTGTTACCTCTCCTTCCCCAACCTGTGAGCAGCAATCCCCCTGATGTGTTTATAATAGGTTTATCCTTTGAACTGGACATATTTTAGAAAAATACAATGTTGACTTACACATGCATGAATCATAAATTACATTGTGCTATACGTAATTTTTCTTAAAGATATTTTTTACTTGTGAGTGTATGTGGGGTGCCAAAACTTCCTTAGGCTTCTTGGTGGTTGGCGCCAGATTGCTGGTCCCATCATCTTCTTCTTACTTACTAAACTGGTTTGGTTTGGTTTGGTTTGGTTTAGTTTGCAATTGGATGTACATATAGCTTGCTTTTCCTGTTGGCCGTATAGCTGGAGTTTGAGAAATAATCTAACAGTCAGTCATTTTTGGATTAGCCTGAAAAGGATGAGTGGGGTATTGTGGTAGAAGCCCTGAAGGGTGGAGAAGGTTGTCTGAGAATGGGGGAAGGAAACAGCTGACCAAGAGGACAGTGGAAGGCCCATACCACAGGGTGTTTTGTTGGAGGGGTTGTTGTGGGTGGAAGGTGTCCAATCAGTGAAGCCCCCCAGGGAAAGATGATGTCATATTGGTGAGAATTTAGGGTGGGGTGAGGGCCAGATATCTGAGAGGTGGGGGGGCACCTGCAGTTCTCAAATCAGACAGGAGAGGTCACAGTACCATTAAGCCCTCCGGGCCTAAGAGGACAGGCTGGTGACAAGGCAACAAGGAAAACCAGCAACTCTGAGGCTGTGTGTTAGACAGGACCTGGGAGGGGCAGGCTCCTAGGGCAAGGTTGAGGAGGGTGCTCTTGGCACATGAGCAGGCTGCTAAGTCTGAAGTCCTGTGGCGAGTTCATCTGTGGGTAGGACTCTGGGCTGGGTAGCACTTGATGAGCTAGTGACCAGGAGGGAAACACGTGAGAATGAGATCACCCTGGAAGAGCAGAGTGAAGGGCTTGAGAGGCCTGGCCAGAAGGAGAGCCCCACCACAGCTGTGTAAGGAGTGGATGGACACGCTGGACCAGCTGAGGAGACATTTTGGGGGGGGGTTAATTTATTGAAATTAGAAACAAGCTTGTTTTATATGTTAATCCCAGTTCCCTCTCCCTCCCCTCCTCCCATGCCCCCCACCAACCCTCTATTCCATCTCCTGTCTGCTCCCCAGGGAGGGTGAGGCCTTCCATGGGGGATCTTCAAAGTCTGACATGTCATATCATTTGGAGCAGGGCCCAGACCCTACCCTGTGTGTCTAAGCTGAGAGAGTATCCCTCTGTGTGGAATGGGCTCCCAAAGTCCATTTGTATACTAGGGATAAATACTGATCAGAGGCCCCATAGATTGCTGAGGCCTCCTCACTGACACCCATGTTCAGGAGGTCAGGATCAGCCCTATGCTGGTTTCCCAGCTATCAGTCTGGGGACCATGAGCTCACCCGTGTTCAGGTCAGCTGTTTCCATGGGTTTTTCCAGCCTGGTCTTCACCCCTTTGCTCATCACTCCTCCCTCTCTACAACTGGATTTCAGGAGTTCGGCTCAGCTTTTAGCTGTGGGTGTCTGCTTCTGCTTCCATCAGCTACTGAATGAAGGCTCTAGGATGGCATTTAAGGTAGTCATCAATCTCATTATCAGGGAAGGGCATTTAAGGTAGCCTCTCCACCATTGCTTAGATTGCTAGTTGGGGTCATCCTCCTAGATCTCTGGGTGTTTCTCTAGTGCCAGATTTCTCTTTAAACCTATAATGACTCCCTCTATTATGATATCTTTTTTCTTGCTCTACTCTTTTCTTCCCCTGACTCAATCTTCTGCTCCCTCGTGTCCTCCTCTCCCCTCCTCTTCTCCCCTTCTCTTTCTCCTAACTCCTTCTCCCCTCCCCCATACTCCCAATTAGCTCAGGAGATCTTGTCCCTTTCCCCTTTGCTCTATGTCTAAAATCCAAATATGAGTGAGTACATACCATGTTTGTCTTTTTGTGACTGGGTTACCTCACTTAGGATGGTTTCTTCTAGTTCCACCCATTTGTCTGCAAATTTCAAGATCCCATTGTTTATTTTTTTCCACTGAGTAGTACTCCATTATGTAAATGTACCACATTTTCTTTATCCACTCTTCAGTTGTGGGGCATCTAGGTTGCTTTCAGGTTCTGGCTATTACAAATAAAGCTGCTATCAACATAGTTGAACAGGTGTCCTTGTTGTATGAATGTGCATCTTTTGGGTATATGCCTAAGAGTGGAGTTGCTGGATCTTGTAGTAGACTGATTCCCATTTTCCTGAGGAACCACCACAGTGATTTCCAAAGTGGCTGTACGAGTTTGCACTCCTACCAGCAGTGAAGGAGTGTTCCCCTCTCTCCACATCCTCTCCAGCATGAACTGCTGTTGGTGTTTGTGATTTTAGCCATTCTGACAGGAGTGAGATGGTATCTCAGAGTTGTTTTTATTTGCATTTCCCTGATGGCTAAGGATGTTAGCATTGTCTTAAGTGTCTTTTAGCCATTTTAGATTTGAGGAGACATTTTTAATAGACTCTCTGCCATTCTGGAATTTGGGCCTGAGTAGAAAGGGGGCATTATAGACTAGGCCTAAGGAGTTATCCCTTCCTGCCTGCCTTGGAGGATGCAAGACATGCTTGAACTGAATAGGGTATGGTTTAAGAAGCCCAGTGTGCTGGCTCAGTCCCTGAGGCTGGGAGGCCCAAGCACTGTGCCTGCAGAGGTTGCCAACCCTGAGGGTGACATGGTTGGAGCAGCTTACATCTGTCTTCACTGGTATAGTCAGCTCTGGACATCTTGGGACTTTGCTGCTCTGGGCAATGCTAAGCATGGCACTCTCAGGGGAGTTAGCGACCTCTCTGGTAGCCCAAGAAACCTTGGGTTGTCTCCCTCCATGCTGTCAAAGCATACGCCTCTTCTTTTTTATAATCCCATGCTTGCTGCTAACTCTCCACACCTGGGTCTCCAGTCAATGATCCATGGCTGATCAGAATGAATGGACGCTGTGAAGAAGACATTCTGCCTTGTCTCCAAATGGAAAAGTAAAAAAATGCTCAGACCCAGCTGTAATGTCACCTCAGTCATGTGTCTTGTCATGATTTTTGGCACAAGAGTTTTTCATCTATAGTATTTTCATTTAATAATTTTCTTTGAATGTATGAAACAGGTATTTTAGCATCTAACCTTGAGTAATACCATCTGTGAGACTACAGGTTTGCTATAGCAGTTGTGATTTTCTTAATGCATAGTCACATAAATGCTTAACTATTAAAAATGCTATGAACATAATATATATATATATATTATTACACCCACTTATACAGACATAGCCTTGGATTTGTGTATTTACAAAGAGGTAATCTTGGAGCCAAAGCTTCCTCCTAACCCTATGCACTAGACGATAAAACTGTTTCCTCTACCTTCTTACTGACCAGGAACCAAAAATGAAACGGACAAAGGACAGATTAACAGGAGTGGCTGGATTTTTAAATGATAACATTAAAGGCCTTTATACCTTAGTAGAGAAAAAGGGGGATGGGAAAAGACTTCTCTAGGAAGAATACACAACTTTCTGTGAGGAAGAAAGATACATTAGAGAGAGAAAAAGTTTGTGGTATTGTTTGTACAGGCGAGAGTGGTCTTGCTGTCCTCAGGGTCATAAAACAGTCCTGGAGAAGGGATTGGCTGAGGTTTATTTTCTGTGTTTCCTTCCAGGGGAAGACACTTTCCAAAGAAGGCATTTGTAGCTGCCTATTTCTCAAGGTTGCTGCATTCTGTTGTGTAAAGTAAGTTCTGTCTAAGAAGGCTCCATCGGTATTTGTTGAATCTTTAAATGTCTTTACCATGCACCCTGTTTGGGGAGACTTGAGTCTTTCACAGGGACCTGAGGCTCCCTGATTAGGTGAGGCTGGCTGCCAAAGACCCCCAGTGTCTGCCTCCCTAGTGCTGGGACCATGAGCAGGTGCCAGACAGTGCACCTTTTTATGTGGGTACCGGGGATTGAACTCAGCCTTCATACTTGTAGGGCAAGCAAACATTTTCCCAATTGAGGTAACTCCGTAGTGCATAAACATGTTTCTCATTTAATAATATAGTTTGAGCATCTTTCTGCTTAAATACTTTTAAGAGCAAGGTCAGTAACGGTTGCCTGGGTTCCTCCGGCTGAGGTGAGCATGTGAGTATTTTTGCTGCTGTTGAGAAATGGTGTGCTGCAGCATATGTCTAGGGGGTGCCCTTTGATGAGGGGGTTATTAACCATGGAGACCACAGGAGAGGGGCAGACAACTGTATGAAAAATCTCCCAGCCATGAGCTGAGGGCAGACAGGGAGGGGAGCCTTGGGAGAAAGAAAGAGTGAAGTTTCATGAGGGGCAGAGGAAAGCCAGGCAACCTGGCTTGGGTGCTCTGCCCAGGGGCACCGGTCCACAGACACAGGGCGTCTTTGATTTGACCAGACAGGGTAGAACAGAACTGCTTCCTCAGGTCACCTGACCCGAGCAGCCAAAGCAGAGACAGATTTTAGGAGGCTTTTTTTTTTTCCCTTTGGGCTGCCTACCAGCTCCCAAATCACAACACAGAGACTTCGTATAAGTGATTACGAATGCTCGGCCTAGCTTAGGCTCGGTTTTGGCTAGTTCTTTTAACTTAAACTAACCTGTTTCTCTTCTACTTTTTGCCTCTGGGCTTTTTACCTTTCTTTATTTTATACGTCTTTGTTTCCTTCCTACTCTGTGGCTTGCTGGGCGGCTGACCAACCCCTGTGTCTCCCTCGTTCTCTCCTCTCCTCTCTAGTTCTTCTCTTTCGAGCCTAGATTTCTCCTCCTACTTATTCTCTCTGCCTGCCAGCTCTGCCGATCCTTTCTCCTGCCTAGCTATTGGTCAATTAGCTTTTTATTAGATCAAGCAGGTGCCTTAGGCAGGTCAGGTGAAACAAATGTGACACATCTTTACATCGTTAAACAAATGCAGCATAAACACAAGTGACACACCTTTACACAGTTAAAATGATACACCACAACAGTAGATGCTTGCACTCACTTTTCTTCTTTTTGCAGGGGATTGAAAGGAACATGCTGCTACACAAGCACTCTGCTGCTGAGACACATAGCCAGGCTAGGTAAGTACTCTGCTGCTGCAATGTGTACCTAGTCTGGCTTACTAGTAGTTTTATTCATTTATTTATTTTTGGAGAGAGTAACCACTTGCTTTGTAGCCCAAGCATGTGTGAAACTTACTATCTTCCTGCTCAGCCTCTCAAGTAGCCGAGAGTAGGCCTGTGCTGCGGTACCCACCTTCACAGTCACTTCCTGACTTCCTCCTGAAGCTGAGATTAGCACCAACAGCCATGAGTGTGCTGGGGGCTTAATACTGGCATTACCTATAGATTCTGCCCCCCCCCGTTGTTTGTCCGAACTCTGAGAGATGTCCCACCACTCCCCGATTCCAAGACTCAAGCATCGTCTGTTCTGATCCCCGGGAACCCATCTATCTCCTGGCCAGTGTGGGGAGGCTGGTGTCCTCCTTTCTGTACTTTCTGAGGACCCATGCTTACAGAGCTCAGATTGCAGGCAGGGAAGGGGGCTCTGCCTGGAAATATGTCCCAAGGCTGCCTTACTGCAGGCTTCTCCAAAGGAAAGAGCTTCCCAGGGGGCAGACTTAAAGACCTGTGAGATGCATTGGGCCCCACCCCCATCACTCTGCCTGCTACTTGCCCAGAAGTTCAGTATTTCAGCTCTGCCAGCCCTAGAGTTTTGAGAAGTTCTGATCTGGAGAAAAAGCTTCAGGGTTCAACACAGGAGCCCCGCTGGCTTGGAAAGGTCTGCCCTTTACCTCAGCGTTGCAGTGAATCTGTCTGCAGCTTGTGGAAGGTAGCAAGGCGGAGGAAGGGTATTTGCTGGGCTCTGCAGTGTTGTTTACTCTCTGGGCTCCAGGAACTACTCCGACCCCCAGTCTCCTCATCTGCCTGGAACATTGGACAGTGAGACTTCATCCATAAACTCTCAAGGGGAAGTACCAGTGAATTGGGAAATCCTAGCGAGTGTCTGCAAATGTCTGTGCACAGTGAGCCTCAGGAAAGGCTGACATATTAATAATAGCGCCCTAGCTCCCTCCCCCCTCACTTCCCTCTCCTCCCTTTGGGCCTCCTAAGGGGCTCTTCTCCCAGGAGCTGTCCCCACCCCCTCCCGTACTCACTGAGTGAGAAAGAACCTGTCATTGTCACCACCTGTGCTGAAGGGTTTCCTCTGTGGGCAAACAGGAAGCCTCTCACCCCTCAGGAGCAGCGGGGACTCTGGCCATGCTGCTTATCTTGGCTGTGTGTGCTGTGTGTTGCAGAGGGTGTGGACAGGTCAGGGTGTGTTTGGGTTCTCAGGAGGGGATGGTGGACTGGGGAGACTGCATGCGTGGAAGGGGAAGGATGGCAGAGGTAAATCTCACCACTGACGTCCCTGCAGCTGGAGGCCTTCTTGGCCTCCACCAAGGGATCCTCCGCCCAGACCTCTGCTTCTCACAGTAGCAGGAGCTGAAAGTTCTAGGAGGTGCATGCAGGCTGAGGACTCCGGCAGTCAAGGAAGTCCTTCAGAGTTCTCTTTTGTCTTGAAGAGCCTCCCGGGGAACAAGCCAGCCCGCTCACCTCCTTGCCTTTCACATTGTGACCATCTGCCTCAACCTTCGCCTCCCAGTGTCCATAAATCCTCGGTGGCCATGTTCAATGAGGCTCACTCATGTTCCTTTATATCTTCCTTGACTTTCCAGTAGCCTTCAGCACGGCTGACCACTTCCTCTGTCAGAAGCAGCCTCTCTCCCATGTAGTAGCCTTGTCCTCTGTTTCTCTCACCTGCTTGACAGCCTCCTTTACGGACCTCTCTCCTCCCATCCTGGTGGGCCCCGCCACCCCTGGCTCAGCTACCTCTCTGGGGCCACAGCAGACCCTAAACTCCGGGCATGGTATTCAGTTGCCTGCCTCAATGTCACAGGTATCTAAACCCAACATTTTAGGAGTTCAACCCTTGATCTCCGTCCAAAAACCTTCCTCTCCCCAGTGCTTTCCCACGTCATCAAGCGCCGCCGTAAGCCCTGCCCAGACCCTCACAGCCGAAGTCTGGAAGTGGCCTTGGACTTCCTCCACGTTTACTCCTCAGATTCGCTGAAGCAGTCCGACTTCTCAGTTGTCCCCAGTTTAGAAGGCCCCAGTCACAGGCCTCTCCTGTCTGCCATCCTTACTCTCTCCCAGGACAGTGCCCTCCCTGACCTGGCCACCACTCCCGCCCCAGAAGCTTGCTCTCAGGTAGCCCCTGGTGGTGGTTCTTCATTTAGTAGACAAATGAGTCTAAAAACAAATGCGTGAACACTCAACTTCAAGTGCACCTTGGTCTACAGTTGTGGACCCCGTGAGCTCTGGCAGGCCCTCCCCCTCCTGTCCCTGGACTTCTTTCTCCCAGTGCCAGGCCTAAGGACTCTTACCCAGACATCAGACTTTTCCCATTGCAGATAAGAAACTGGACCTGAAGCCTACCCTGCTCTTCCGTGTTAGGCCCTCTCCACGTGGGTACAAATAACATATCTCTGCCTAGGCCTCCCCTGATCTCCGTAGCAGTGAGCTCACCCAGACACCCTCCGTGGATTCTCTCTCCACCTCTTCCTGCCAGCACTCTGGGCATGCAGTGAGCAGGCGCTGGTGAACGAGGGAGCGTGCTGGCTTATTTTCTGTCCCTAGACTGGAAGCTGCCTATGAGCAGGCAGCAGCAGGTTTAACCCCTGGCTGGCTGATTAGCAGCTTCTAATGCGAGGATGAACAGAAACACAGAAGGTGCTGGCTGGAGCACTACATACCAGGGCAAGGCCGGGACCTGGGGAGAGGTTCGCTTCTAGGTGATACATTTAGGTTTCAGGGTGTGGAGAGTTGTGAAGTCCCGAATGCAGGGGGTGTTGCAGCGTGGATGAGAGAATGGATGAGGATACGTTGAACGGGAAGAGTTTGTGAGACTAAGCTGTGCACCGCTCCTGTTTGCCAGCGTTAAAAAGTGGCTGCTTTGGGCCTCCCAGGACCAGCACGCTTTCATCTGATGTATCAAATATATAAAAGTTCCGGGAAGCTGGCAAACTGCCATGCTAATTGTGTCTTGTCTTCCTACCTTAAGCCCTACCTTATCATCAGCCTGCAGGCAGATGCAGGTCTGAAGCAGAGTCCTCAGTTTCCTCTCAGTGTGTCTCCTGGAGGAGAACCTATTCCCATCCTGGCCCCTGCCTGGCCCCACCTCTCCTTCTCTTCCTCACCCTGACCCCGCGTCACAAGCTCGGTGTGGTGGGGGGGGCATGGGTGACTTGAGCATGACACTAACCCTACCCTCGACCCCACCCTCTGCTATCAGCTCTCTAGCCTTCCTAAACCGAGTCTTGGGCTGTACAGAGCTGCTGTGTCTGGGGGACGGAGGGGAAGCCTTGCAGGCTCGGAGAACTCTAAGACTCCACACCCAGAGGAGTACGTGGGTCCAGGTAGGAGCACCTCCATGGGATTCCTTCCATCTATAAGAGGAGGACAGCTGGAGGAGGGCCTGAGCCAATGGAGGTCACCCATACAAGGCTTTGGCGTCGCCGCCACCGTTGTGGGCAGGCCAGTAAAGAGAAACCAGGGACGGTAGGTGGACAGCTAGAGCTGTGGCCAGGGTAGGGTCTTTGGATCCTCAGCAGAAAAATGGTGGAGCTGAGACTGAAAATATGGACTGTTGATGTTGAGTATGGCTTCCCACTGGCCTCTGTATCATGCTCCTAGACACTGTAGCCTGCTCCAGGGACTTGTGTCTGGAACTCAACTGTTGGGAACGGGCAATGTTTAATTCTTGTGCTCAAAAGGCTTAGTTTGAATCCTAGCGTTGCAACTTCCCATCTGGGCAACCTGAGGCGCAGCAGCCTCAGTACGAGGGAGCGAGCAGTCACGCTCCGGAGATCAGAGTGAGAACCCGCTAAGGGGGTGGTGGCGGCGGGGTGAGGGGTGGTGTTTGGAAGGATAAGGTGATGTTTCAGGTGTCATTATCAGTGGTGACACCGGACACACCCATATAAAAATTGAAATGTCGCGTGTGAGAAACAAAATGCTTGACTTGAGGCCCTTTTGTCTCCCATCGCTAACCCCTCCAGAGGACCAAGCTGAGGCAGAGACAGAACCTGGGGCAAAACCACAGGGAGGAAGGAGGAGGGGCCTGCTCACAGCCCTGGCCTCCTCTTCCCCTTTCTCCCAGGCCCTGGTGTGGTGGGGAGACGGCCGGTCTGTGGCAGGTTCATTCTGGCAGGGTGATCCACGGGCTTCCAAGGATCAGGCAGCATCGATAGGGTATGGGGCCCGGGGAGATGCTGAAGCCGGAAGTGGAGGCCCTTGTCTTGTGGGCAGGAAGTGTGGGGTACTGAGCTACTCTGAGAGCTAGGGAGCCTTGGGGAGGCGGAGGGGTATGTGTCACGGTGGTGAGGGGAACGGAAGTCGGAAGCCTCAGTCGCCACATTCGCAGCCGGCGGGCAACTGTGCAGCACCAAGCGTTCCTGGGGCAGGAGAGTCCAGGAGAGCCCCTTCTAGTCCCTGAAGGTGAGCTAGGTGAGCCTCCCCGGGGCGGGGGTGGGAGAATCTGGGTTAGGAGACCAGAAAATAGAGAGTTTTATGTGGGTGCTCGTGGTTGAGGTTAAAGATAGGTACGCTGGATGGAGACAAGTTTCTGGGCTTATCAATCACTACTTGGGTACCTGATATGAGCCTGACCTCACTGGACTCTTGTCTTCTGTCTTCCCTCTATGCTGTCTATCCTCTGCCTAACTCACTCTCTCTCTCTCTCTCTCTCTCTCTCTCTCTCTCTCTCTCTCTCTCTCTCTCTCTCTCTCTCTCTCTCTCTCTCTCCCTGGCCCTTCTGTAATGTCTGTTTCTTCCTCCTTTCCCCAGGGCCTTTAGACACCTGTAAGGTGAAGGGTGAAGAGACAAGGCAGTGTACCTTAAGTCTTCACACCTACTGTGGCTAAGGTCTCAGCTTGCCTTGACTGTAGACCCTGGAAGGCTGGAGTCCCAGGAGGCTGGATGCTCTGGGTGTGGTCACCGCACAAAAGGAGTCTGGGCTTCAGCCCTTAAGGTGCTCTCTG